ACCGATAGACTTGAATGTATTCTTTGTGTTTTAGTTGACTATAATTTATATATATATACATATATATTTATATATCATAGTTTAGAATATATTCTTTCTGCTTAGTTTCCACTAAAGCAATTTTATTAGATGCTCACTCCTAAATCTTTTCTTTACCTACTTTTCTCCTATACCCACTCATTCACTTGATCATGGCCTCTGCTGTCTGGGATGCACTGATGCCCTTAGTGTTCTCAAGTGACTTGCTATTAGAAACTTTATTTTCACTAGATTATGCACAATCTACGTATTAGGCACAAAGAACGTAGAGACCACATTATTAAAATATTATATAACTATATTATAATGTCAAAAATAAAAAAAACCAGTTAACAGTGATTCTGAGCAATTGCTCATAATCATTGTTATTCAAGTTTTTCTTTGAAAATGGTATTTGATTTACAAACAGTATATTAATATATGGACCTCTTGGCAGTAGTATAATTACACTTTGCTCCAACTATTTCCTTCCTGAAATTCCATCTGCCTTTCTGCTCTCTGTCATATCTTGTCCCCCACCTTTGAGCTTTGCATTTGAGAGAAATAAATTTAGTTCTTCTCCGTCTGGATTTCAATTGCTAAAGTTTATTTAAGTACTTGAGGAGGTTGCCAAGAATGCAAAGCTTTTTGCTTGCTCAGCTGAGACTATCTAAAGCCAGGGAGCTTTCCAGCTCAACAGGGTTGAAGAGGACAAGACTGCGAATGGCCTTACTGTAAACAGTTGACATGAAATAACATCATCCACTTAGCTGATGTCTGATAAACATCATATGGCAGACTTCTCAATTTCTTTGAGAAATCTTAGAGATCAATAATATGTATCCCATCTCTGAATCAAACAACAGTTTATGATAAATTTCCATGCTAAATGAGGAAAAGTATAATCCTGAGATGTGAAATCAATTACATAATGGACTTGAGACCAAACTCTTTAAGAAACTCACTTGAAATTCAGTTTCATCTATGTTTTTCTCTCTCTCTCTCTCTCTCTCTCTCTCTCTCTCTCTCTCTCTCTCTCTCTCACACACACACACACACACACACACACATACACACACAGAGCAGGTTGGGAGGAGAATGTGTGCACACGCTTCTGAGTGGGCTCACACATGCTGCTGCACGCCTGTGGAGGCCAGAGGACTACCTCAGAAAGCCAATTCTTTCCTTTCACCATGTGGGTCCGAGGGTTCAGGTTTGAACTCAGGTTCTCAGTCCTAGGCTGCAAAGTACTCAAAATAGTACTCTCTGAGCTATCTCATTGACTGGAGTATTATATTGTTTTTTATTTGTTTGTATGTTTTTAGAGCTTATATTGTTTTGTTCTTTGACAATTTCATACATGTATAATGTTTATCCTGATAATTATGATCACTCCACTAATCTCCCTCTAATTTGTTGTTGTCCCACAACACACACACACACATACACACTCTTTCCACATTCATGACTTTTGTTGTTGTTATTATATAGAAACCCAATGAGTTTAATCAGGATTGTCTGTGTTACCATGGCTTTGAAACTATCCACTGCAGCCTGGTGGATCACTAATGGGTACCCAACTAAATGTCTCTAGAATCTCTCAGTAGCTAATAGCTGCAAAATGAAGGGTAGAGCCTTCTAACCTCCTATGGAAAGAGAAGCAATCTACCTAATCTAAGATATGAGTGCCAACTCAAAAGGATTTAAGAATTTAAATAAATAATAATGGGTATTTTCTGGGTATTTGTGTGTTTCATTATAATTCTAATATCAACCTTCAAAAGATTTTGCAGTTCTCTTCTAGATTAAAAATCCATAAACAAAAATATAATGCAATATGCATCACTTCATTTCGAGTTTATGAAACTTTTTTTCACAATTCCCTACAGTCTGAGAAAAAAATCAAGAATCTTTGATATGCAATATGAGTAATTCCCAGAAGAACTCACAAGGCCTATTTTTGTTTATTTTTACTCTAAGTATGCAAATAGACTCATATCTGTACTTTTAATCTTCTAACAAACATCCATTGAGAAGTCAAAAGATAGTCTTATTTATGAACTAATTCTATCCTTTATTTTTATGCACAAATATGGGATTTGAAATAACAAAGAAAGAATGGAATTGCAGAAACTAGCTGTATATGAAATTGGAGAACTGTATCAGAAAAAACATCATTTGAGCCAAGTGTGGTGGCTCACAGCAATAAATCTGGCCCTTGTAAGGCTGAGGCAGCAGAGTACAGCAAGTTCAAGATGAACTTGTTCTACGGAATGAGACTCAAAAACACAGAAATCTTTTAAAACCACATAAACATAAAAGTGGTAATAATACACAGTTTTGAAATGCTGAATCCCACATGCTAGAAAATGTTAAAAGTATGTACAACTATATCAAACATCTAATGTTTCTTGAAATATAGTCACTTTATTTTATCTTACACACACAGAAATTTGTATATTAGCTTCATAATTCACAATTTTTACCTGGCTAATCATATATTGGTTTATGATTCTACTATCTCAAGCCTCAAGACCAATAAGTAAACTATGTGACTACAATGCTAAACACAATGAAATAACAATTAAGAACTCACCTACACATGGGACCAATATTCTCTACCACACAAGTGCCACCATTTCTGCAATAATATACAGGACACTCTGAAAAAGAAGCATCATGAAGGAGACAGTTGGTAATAAACATTTTATAAGTAAGGGGTATATGTTTGTACTATATATTGCATTAAACTTCATTTGAGGGTAACTGGCTTCTCAGTTCTAAGAGCAAAGAATTCTTCCTAGGCACACTTCTTGCTCCTAACTTGGCCAGTGGTTCCTGGTGGTCTAGATGCTTCTTGCCCTTTGTGTACCTGAGTGACATACTAAAGGAAAAGATGTTTACTCCTAGATTAGGCGCACTCTATTTATTTCTTAGATATCTGAAGGGCTTGTTTTTTGAAATACTAGATGTTTGTGTTTACTGAATCATTTTTTGTGTGTATCACAGAAGTCACTGAATGATGGCAGGTTAGCATGCATAGGTGGTCATGCACTCCTGTGCATATGTATGACCTGCCTTTTGGTCTGTGATTGATACTGGCACAGTTCATGTGGTCCCACTTAGGCAGGCACTAATATTTCATTGCAAGTGCCACTCCCTAGTTCACCTTTAGAACGGACATTTTCAGATGGTCTGCTTACAGGTTAAATATTTCAAAGCACTTAAGCCATATATTTTCACACACTTTCTCCTGCAGAAGCACTTTGTGCCTTTGGCTCTCTGTGCTGGATGTGCTGACCCCGCATCTCCTTGATGCACCATGGCTGGCTAGTGTTTCTGATCCCCGAAGTTCCCATCTGTCTTTAACACAGCCATTATTTTTTCAGGATTCTATACTACCCCGCTTGAGCTATTGTAGTTGTAATACTTGATGGAAACCTCTATCACTTTTAAGTTTAATACAATGATTCAATGTTTTTACTGGCTACCTATGAAATGTCTGACTTTGACCTAGGCCCTGAGAATGTGATCAGTAACAGTTCTGGCAACTTGACACTTTTGGTGAGGCTTTTGTTACCGGAACCAGCTCTCTGAATTGGAATTTCAGATCAACTAAGCAGCTGTGTAATATTGGAGGTTGTTAACTTCTCTGTGTGTTTCCTCTCTAGTAAACATAAGTTAAAAGGGAACCCTTCTCAGGTTGTGTTGAGGGTATTTGAAACACCCTCATGATGACTTCATAAAGATATACAGGTATGGCGCCTGCTGTCATTAATATTCCAAGCTTAAGGAAGAGGCAACAGAGTAGTGAGGCATCAAAACACTGTACAAGACAGTGCAGCATCTGAGAAGGTCACTGATAATTGAGAAGGGTAACAAGGATGGGACCTTAGGTAAATCAGGGCATACTCTGTGCATTATACTTGGCGCCCACTTATGTTGACAATCACGTGCTTGTGTGAAGGTAAACATAGAGACTGCTAGGCTTGCAAAATGAATTCAGTGTGTTTCAATAGTCGGGACTGGAGAGTTCACCGTGGCTGAATTTGTGGTAATTTAAGCGTCAAAGATATAGGCGTCTATATTAAAAGCATATAGACTCATGGAAGCTAGGACTTTAAGAAAGAGCTTGGGAGCCTTCATGCTTAGAAAAAGAATAGACTGGCTGCAGTCTGTCCAGTAAAAAGGAAAATCAAGAAAGAAACTGACCCAGTTAAGAGTCCTTTGTGAAGAAATGGTTGCCGCCTAAAGGAAGGGGCTAGAGGTGAGACAGAGGGGTGAGAGCTGTACATATTTATTAGCAATTATGAGCCTGAAGTTTAAATAGTTTCATGATTATTTGGAAGAGTAGAGAATGACGTTTCAGGTTCTGACTGGGCCACTGACACGCTGGTGGCTTCATTCACATAGTTGAATGACTGATGGGGAAGGAAAATTGAAAGGTGATTCTGTGTTGGGTTGGTTAAGGGACATGCAAAGAGATGTACTCCATGATTCCCCATGGCACTGAACTCTGCAGCTCTGAGCAATATGAAATAAGGCTTAGACTCACAAATTTGAATGTGGAGCTTTCTTTATGGCCATTGGTATTTGTGCCAAAAAAGGCATGCCAATAAGAGTTAACCAAGTTTAATGTAGAGAGGGGGTGTGTGTCAGGGAAAGAGAGAATTAACTTTTACTTGGGAAGAGAAAAGATTATTTATGAAGAAATATAAAGAAATAGAAATTTTATGCAGACACTGTGGGTTAAAGTAGATCACTGGGGGACAATTGGTTTGAGGAAGATTGTCCAGACAGTCATTGAGCATTCCCAAAGCATTAAGAAAGAAGTCAGAAGTGTGGGGGAGGGGTGTCTGAAAATACCATGTGTTTAGTATCTAGTGTCAAGTGTCATTTTGGTTTCCAGAGCTCTCAACAATTTGCTTTCCCAGTAGTGCCTTTCCCATCTTGGCTCCCCTCACCTAGTAATTTTAACTATCTAGAAGCTGCAGAATGGACAAGGAAAGTGAAAAGTCGTCTTTCCTTCTGTGATGCGCCTCCTTGAACTGAATAGATAGAAAATTTCCCCAAAAAACAAGAAACCAGATGCTCCAGTAAAGGAACCCAGCAATCAGCAGGGCACAAGTAGACACAAACATGTCCTGCTTATTTCTCCTAAGTACAGTTTGAGTCTCTTAAGTAATGATTTTGTTCTAGCTCAAAAAGTGAAACCAAATAAACAACCAAAACCAAAACATCAGCCAAGTGTGATGCTGTTAGGCATCACAATCCACAGGGCTACCATCGCCCACCTCCTTCTGGAGTCATGCATGTTCACTACGATCACAACGAATAAAGCAGCCTTGCTGCTCATCAGCAGGATGCTATAGGAACCTGGTCTATGCTTCTTTATCATAGCCAATGGACTGATGGGGAGAGAACAAGGATGCTGAGTAAAGCATAAGGTCAGGTGTTCTTCCACAGTGTCATCTTCCATGGCTCCTTTGTTGTTGAACTTGTTTGCTTGAAATAATGTCTCTAACTGGCCTTGAACTCACAAAACCAGGTACCCACTTGTCTGCTTCCCCAGGACTTAGATGAGATGGTACCAGCATGGCAGGCTTTCAATTTTTATTTTATTTACTTATTTTTGTGTGGTTTCTGGGAGTCAATCTTTTCTTTTTGGGCTTTGAAAACAAGTACTTTATAGATTGAGTTTGCTTTTTAGCTTCAATGCTGGTGTTTTTCTCAGAGTGTAGTTTTTTTTTTCTGTGAAGGTTTTATAAATTCATAACAGATCATTAAATTGAAATACAGACTATTTTCATTTTTAATCTTCTCAAAGCAATTTTGGGCACTAAATGAAATGGTAAAGGGGATGGATATGGTTTGTTAGGAATGAAGGAGACCATTATTTCTAGTACATAATAGAAGAATCCATGAGAGAATATTACAATGCTCACAAGGCCCCTTGTTCTTTGGTTACAGTGACCTCTCACTAGCCTAACCCTCTGGCCTTGGTGATTATGATCCTGTGTCTGGAGGCCAACACAACTCACTGATACAACATTTGTGGGAGAGTTTATATTTAATCCCATTCTGGTGGGATTCTTTGGACAAAGAAAGGCATGCACACAAGCACAGACACACTCTTAAATATGTAACTAGGTAACTATTTCTTCCCTAAATAAAATAGAAGCTTGAATGTGTCATCTGCTGCACTAAATTTTTCTGGAAACATGGATAACTGCACAAACTCTGATTTTAGCTGTTACCTGGGATCAGGCACTTATGACCTGTGTGTGTTTGGGATTTTAAGTTCATATTTTTCATCTAAAATATCTATCATTGATATGCCTGTCTAAGATTTATCTATCTATCTATCTATCTATCTATCTATCTATCTATCTATCATCTATCTATCTATCTATCTATCTATCATCTATCTATCTATCATCTATCTATCTATCATCTTTCTATCGAAATATTTGATACAAATATACAGATAGATATATTTTGAAGCCCCACTGCAAGGGCTATAGGAGGGATTATTATGTCTCAGAGACTTAAAGTGGCTCCAGGATCCTTGCTGGGAATTTTTAGTGCTTTGGTTTTGTTTAAAACTGTCTGAAACTTTATGAAGCTATGTCATTATCATACATTACATATGATATTACATTTTTGATGTATTATCCTACAATTTTATATTTTCATACCATTTTCTAATTCTCTATGCAATGGAATATCACCATAATTATAGTATTACTTTATCATAAATTTTCCAAACTGCTACCACTGTACATAATTAGAAATATCACTTCCAGTTTAATTTCAGTTGGAGGGAACTTGATAATTTTTTTCTGTTGCATAAGCAATCAAAACCTGAAAAAGCTATGGCCTCCTGATGAGACTCAGGAACTGACAAAATTCATTGAAATATTCTCACTGTGCCTGAGTCTGATGTTCTTAATGATTAACTTAAACCCTGAGGTGTGCACAGACAGATGCTCACCCTCTGCTGTGAGGCCACTATGGGGAGTACTGGCCACTGCAAGGATAGATCTCCAAAAACCCATCTAAGGCTGACCTTAATAGAAGTGTCAATTGAAATGGCAGAGATGTGTGGCATACATTGGCAAATGTGTATTGTGGGTCTGTTTTAAAGGCATTCTTTAAAACACAAGTGTTGAGCACATGTCCTTGTGGTACGATTGAACATCCTTTGGGTATATACCCAAAAGTGGAATTTCTGGGTCTTGAGAAAGGTTGTTTCCTAATTTTCTGAGAAATCGTCAGAAAATATCCAAAGAACTGTACCAGCTTACACTCGCACCAGCAATGCAGGAGTGTTCTCTTTACTCTACATCCTCTACAGCATAAGTTCTCATCAGTGTTTTTGATCTTGGCCATTCTTACAGGTGTAAGATGGAATCTCAGAATTGTTTTGATTGGTATTTCTCTGATGGCTAAGGATGTTGAGCATTTCCTTAAGTGTCTTTCAGCCATTTTAGATTCGTCTGAGGAGAGTTCTCTGTAGAGGTCTTACTCCATTTTTTATTGGATTACTTGTTCTTTTGATGACCAATTTGTTGAGTTCTTTGTATATTTTGGAGATCAGTCCTCTGTCTGATGTGGGGTTGGTAAAGATTTTTTTTTCCGTTCTGTAGGCTGCCATTTTGTCTTGTTGACCATGTCCTTTGTTTTATAGAAGCTTTTCATTTGCACAAAGTCCCATTTATTAATTGTTTCTTTCTGTATCTGTTCTACTGGGGTTATATTTAGGAAGATAGCAACATTGTTTGTCATAGACAGAACCTAAAAACAACCTATATGCCCCTTGATTGAAGAATGGATAAGGAAAATATGATACATTTACACAATGGAGTACTACACAGCAGAAAAAAATGACATCTTGAAATTTGCAGGTGAATGGATGGAGCTGGAAAATATCATATTGAGTGAGGTAACCCAGACCCAGAAAAACAAATATTATATGTACTCATTCATAAGTAGTCTTTCAACATAAAGCAAAGAAAATCAGCCTACAAATCACAATCCCAGAGAACCTAGACCACAATGAGGACCCTAAGAGAGACATACATGGATCTAATCTACATGAGAAATAGAAAAAGACAAGATCTCCTGAGTAAATTGAGAGCATGTGGACCATGGGAGAGGGTTGAAGGGGAGGGGAGAGGAAGGGAGAAAGCAGAGAAAAATGTAGAGCTCAATAAAATCAGTAAAAAAGAAAAACAAAATGGACAACTTAAAAAAATCCACAAGTGTTAACTTTATATTTAATAGAGGAACCCAAAGTATAAAAATGTAAATAGAGAGCACAAAATATGGATTTCATTTGTGGCAAGGGTTTCACTAGCTTTTGTGTCACTTTAACCCAGTAGATATGTCAGTGTGACCTGCAGTCCGTGAGTGGACTGTGAGTGACGGGTACTTGACTGAAATCAATGGGGTGTCTATCACCCTGTTTGAGTGGCAAGTCTTCCATTTCTCTGACCTTATTTTTAATTCATGGAATTATGAAGTATATGGTGTAAGCATGAACCAGTTGTAGTTCACAAAAAGCTCATTTACCTACTTCTGGTTTTAATGAGTATAATACCAAATGAATAAGTCACCAGATCTGGGCCCATATGCAAATATATAATCCAATATATAAAATATACAAAGATAATCTACAAAAGCGTTGTTTTTAAAGACATAAAATATATTCTTGCCTACAACTGATATGAAATATTTCCAACTTATTAAGAAATGTGATCAAATATATATTTTATTGCTGATTCATATTATCATTTAATTTTAACAGAATCATATTGCTTCTAGATCTCTATTACTTTATACATACCCTACATGAAATAAAAATTTGATCACTCAGGAGAGAAGATAAAAATAGCCTATACCATGGGATTTTATAAGTTATAGGAATTTTTAGAGCAGTATTTATACACATAGGACAACTGTTTTATATTATCAGCTCTTATGCTGTATGAATGCTCCAAGGTCATAAAACTGTTTCAGAAAAATAAAAAAATGCTTCAAAAGAAACCTAAGATTTAATTACTTATAGAAAAATATATTATTAAATTATGTGATACTCTCATCAAAAAGTAGAAAAATGCATGTAGTTTCATAAAGATAATGCAGTACTATTCCTATAGGCATTGGACACCTGAACCATCTGCCTGTTTTCTAGTATTCATTATTTAGTGGACACTTTATATAATAGTAAAGAGTCCATTACTCTTTTAAAAACTTAAACCTAGGATTTCAATAATTTTCATGCCTCCAAACCAATATCATAAATTCATGTCTATTATTATTTAGAAAATCCACTTTTAATATTTTATCTCCTAAAGATTTAGTTAATCTTGTTCATATTGAAAGGAAAGTTCAAAAGAAAATGGAGTACCTGAGCAGCTGGACTCATCGAGTTGGAAGTGATCACAGTGGGCCATACCATCACAGCGCTGGTGAGATGGGACACAGATGCCTGATGAGTTGCACATCAAAGCTCCATTGGGGCAGCTCTGATTGGCTGAACAGAAAACAGTGCTGGTGGTTAAGATGAGGAGTGGTAGCAAGTACATCTGGTTTTGAATGAGTTTCTAATAATGAAATGATTGCTGCCTTACCCTTTATTTTTCATATTTTATTTTAGAAAAGTTTCTCTATATTTTTTTCTTTATTCTGGGCAGAGAAATATCTCAACAGTTATAAAAGCTCTAGCTTCTCTTCCAGAGGATGCAGTTCAAACTGTCTGTAACTTCAAGTTTGGGGATCTGATACTCTCGTCTAGCCTCTGGAGACACAGCATGCAGGTGGCACACAGATATACTTGAAGCCAAAGCACTCATACACATAAAAAAGTAATTTTTAAAAAGTCTTTATTCTTGAAATTTTCTTACATATATAGAGTGAAATATAATTACATTCTGTCCATAGTTCTGATCCACCTCAACCATATCACATCTGATATATGCCCCTCCCAACTTCAAGTCTTTTTAAAAACCCACTAGCTTCAAAGCTACAGAGAAACCCTATCTCAAAAACAAAAACAGAACAGAACAATAAAACCCCAGTAAGTCTGCCTTAGTGCTGCCCCTATGGGAGTGGGACTTCTACTGGAGGGTGAGAATCCTCTCAGAGAGTGATTTTCCCTCTCCCAGCAATGATCAACTATCAATAGTTCTCAGTAATGGGAGGGTCCTAGAGATCATTTGCCCTATCTGTGCCACGTTTTTGACCGGCTTGATCTTGTACTGGTATTGTACAGGTAATCACAGCTGCTGTGAGCCCATGAGTACATCACATATGTCATGAGAAAACTTTTCATTTTAAATACAATTTAAATTAACCTATGATTTTCAGAAAAAGTAAAAAAAAATGGATGAAATAATTTCTCAAATATTGTCAGGGACTCAGTTTTATGTTCCCCACGAACTGATGCTGAGGTCTTAATACATAACAGGACTGTGTTTCTAGTTAGAGACTTGAATAAAGGATATTACAGCTAAGTGAAGCAATCAGGCTAAGACCCTAATCAAATGCTATTAATGTCCTTATGAGAAGAAAAAAAGGAGGAAGAGGGGGAGAGGAAGGGAGAAAGAGAAAGCAAGAGCAGGGATGGAGGATGGAGAGAGAAGTGGGTGTGGGGAGAAGAAAGATAAGATTAGGGTTTGCATGATCAGAGTTAAGGTCCTGTCTTCTGGATTCTGCCAGAAGTGATAAATACTAAAATCTCTTTGGATCTTCAATTTCCAAAAAGAAATTTAAGACCTGTGAGTGGTCACTGTGTATATACATTCAACTATGACTTGAAACACAATTAGTAAGGCTCATAGAGAGAAATTCGGGTTCAACCTGAAGGTCAGCAAAGCAAAATAGTCAGCCACTGGCTCTTACATTGACTCCCCTTCTTGTCTAAATAAAAATAGGCTATAACTAATATAAGTAAACTATATACAGTAAGCCAACATATATAGCCATGGAAAGAGCATAATAAATGTAGCCTGCATTGAAAAGAGTAGGTGCTCAATAACGGCATGTGTCCCGATGATGATTGATGTCCCTGAAGGTTTAGCTCCAGCCCAATTCCACCTGGCTTGCAGAGGCTTCCCTCCAGTATCAGTACTCATCACTGTATACCAGAACTCAGTCCCCAAGAGGCCTCCTCCATCATGGGAAGCCCCCCTCACCTCCGCACCCCACACCCTTTAAGGGAGAGAGTTGACAACCAGAAATCATCCCTTATAAGGATGTCCTGCTGGGCCATGGGCTAAGACCTGATATGGGAAGTGACTTCCATAGTAGATAATTGAGAGAGACATCTGTGACCGGACCCTTTAAAGGACATGAGCCCCTCTAGGAAGCTAGAGCCTTCATAGGTACCAGCTCCCCACTCACTGCCCCACCTCCCCAGAGAATAGCCTCCACACACTGTAAAGCCAAGAAGCAGCCAATTCTCAGATCTTATGGGGTTGCTACTCTTCCAGAGATCACATCATACTAACCAGGTGATGCATGGTTAGTAAAAACTCAGGGAGAGAAATTGGGGTTCAGCTTGAAGATCAGAAAAAGCAAAGGAGTAGGCCATTGGCTCTTGCCTTGACCTCTGTCCGACATTGCAATCCTACCTCCAGGAATCTCAGAATGAGACTGTATCTGAGAGCTGTCTCCTTCTGTTTTATAGTACTCCCTAGTTCTAGAACTAAAGGTGTGCACCACTGGATTAAAGGCATGTACTGCCCGGTTTCTATGGCAAGCTATGTAGCTACTAGGATTAATGGTGTGTGTTGCCATTACCTGCTTTGTAAGGCTGATCTGTGGAGCTGCTTTACTCTCAGATCCTCAGGCAAGCTTTATTTATTAAAACAAAATTGAAATACCACTACGTTTAAGTTTAGTAAAACATAGTATGTAAAATTCATGTGGCTCTAATGGATTATTGCAGCATAATGGAAACAGAGGGCTTCCTTGTTGTGGTTTCTAAGGAGAGGTTGGCCCAACTTCAGAATATAAGGATAGGTTAGAGGTACTATACTCACAGAACTCTAAATTGTCATGAAAATAATGTGTTTGTTGAACCTTGTCAGAACACTCTGCAGTGTGAAAAGCAGAGATTCCTTCCTTTCTCAGAGAGAACATTTCCTGAGGGTGAGAGAGCAGGACTCTAAGAGACAATCACTTTTAGAAACAACTAAAATGTCACAAAAAGATCAAACATGTCTTTCAAAACACTGGCATTGAAATGGAATGTAGAATTCATGGATGGGGTTATTTGTTTTTAGTGCTTAGCATAAGTTTAAGTGTTGCAAAAATAAAGACTCTGAAGTCTTAACAATTTTAGATAGGAATGCCAACAGCAGTTGATATTTGAAGGTCTTGTACGCTAACAAAATCAAACTTCTTAGCTATCAGAGAGCTTCCATGGATTTGTGGTGAGATCAATATTTAAAAATAATTCATATAAAGAGCTACCCTGCCAATGAAATGTATCTTTTTCATAAACTTAAATGGTATATATTTTATCAAGAATCATTTTTCCCCAAAAACTAACGGGAAAAACAAATACAGTTAATCTATATGGTAAGAGGGTCTTGCTGTGAGCCCTAGGCTACCCTAGAACTTACGGTCCTGCTGCCTTAGACTCTTTAATACTGGGATTGTAGGAACATTCCACCTTGTCTAGCTTACATGTTTTTAATTACACAGCAGGATAAAACAAAAGTAGGCCTCTCTATTTCAGGAAGCTTTTGTGATTCCAGCATTTGTTCCGTCAGTCAGTACCTACTCGCCTCCCTCCAAAGTAGGTCGTCTGCTGATACTGTTTGCCATGACTATAAAGTGACCGGGAGCTGTTTCTCAGAGAAATGGCATGCACAAGAAAGCAGTGAAAGTTAGTATCAGTGGGACTGGCCAGAGACTGGGAGTTTACAGAAGTTATCTGAAGCTGGAGTTCAAGAACACATTAAGTAAAGGTCTCAGGGAGAGGAAGAGAGGGTGGTGAGCAGATGAATGGGGGAGAATGACAGGTCTTCTACAGCATGGTAGAATAACTAGGGATGACAACGATTATTTTAGAATAACTACTAGCAGAGTGTAAAGGTTCTCAGTACTAAGTGCTACATATCCCAAGTGATAGATTTGCCAAATAACATGAACTGATCTTTGCATGTTGTGTACATGTGCTGAAATGTTACAGTATATATAGCACATAAATAGATATGGACACTATGCAACAATTGAAATATATATGTGTGTATAAAGAAACACATATACTAAACATATGCAAACACATGCTGTTTCAATAAGCAAAGGTGATCATTCTGATAAACCCATGCTTTCTGTCCAGTGTGTTGAATTTATGCTGATCCTCTCCATTATCCAAACTCAGCCATACACTGGGCTGCAAGTTAAAGAAGTTTGTTACATAGGTATATATGACCCATCCCTGTTATACGGAAACTTGAGAATCAGACAGGTATATAGGGAGTTGACATATTTCTCACTAGTAGCTGATGTGTCCCATGAAAGTTAGTGATACTTTTGGTGATGTGAAATGAATAACTTTCCTAAGATTATCCCTTATCAATATTTTTTATAATTGGCTGCTATGTATGTCAGTTATGATGTCAGTATTACTAGTACTTGGCAATGGCAGTGTGAATTACATACAGTATGAAATAGTTAGCTCTTATGATAGTTACCATTGGTATAGTCTACATTAAAATATTGGTAACTAAATCCATTTATAGACGTCTGGGAAGAGTGTATGGAAGAGTATGACTAAGTACATAATGTCCTCATAATAAATTATTATTCTTTCAGCACTAACTTATTTTAAAGTTTCACTGAACATTAAAGTGTTAAGACATTTCATAAGAGTTCTTGTTAGATTTAATTCAAGGACAAAATGCGCATCTGCACTGTCAGAGCTAGATTTGAATATACACTGAGTCTTGTAGTTTTTATTCTAATGGACCACGTGTAACTTTGTTGTTAAAATTGCTGAGTTCTGGGGCACAACAGGAGAGTTGCATATACAAATCACAGCAATTTAAACACATGCACATGACCTGTGTAAACTCAAGCTATATAAAATCACATCATAGAGAGAAGGAGTAAGCATGAATCCTACCATGACTGGCATTTGACAGCATTTAAGAGAGGGAGAAATCAGTTTTCTTTAATGATATATCCCCTGAGAGGTCAGCCACACTCCAAGGAAAAGAACACCTCTGAGATTAGTTGGGAAATACACACTGCACTTTCTGGACTGTAAGGGGAGGGGGGTGATAACGAAGAGAACTCAAAGTTGTATAGGTAGAGGAGAGGGTGGTTATGGGAAGAGTTGGTGGAAGATAGTAAACAGGTTCATAACAGACTATGAAATATTAAAGAGTTAATAAGCTATTGTTAAAGAGAGAGATACTGAGTTCCTCTGCTCTGCCCCCTCCTCTTTTCCTTCTACCAGCCCATTCTTCTGCACCCCAGAATCCCATAAACTAATGCACATTCTGAAGTGTACACTCCTCC